GGATAAAATTCAAAATAAAATCAACAATAACATAAAACCAAGATCTTAACAACTTGATGCCTTTGAAACAACTATGCACTATGCTTGAGAATAAAAGATAAGATTGCAAGAAACAAAAAAAGAAGAGTGCCAAAGTTTACCTCAATCGGGCTTATTATGCCCTACACCTAGTCACCACCATTCGATGGCACGAGATCAACAGTCTAGCTTCAATCGCAAACCAGAAAAGAAAATTTCGGCCAAGCCATACTAATGGAACATAAGTCCCTTTGATCACAAACTCAAACCCTAGGTGAATTATCTTAGCAACCTAGTTTGAGAGCGATGGATTATCTTTTTGCTAAACCTTAAAACCCTAAGCCATAAATCCATATTTGACATATAGGAGATAAGAACTCCATAACCTAAACCCTTAGGTTCTTTCACAATGTGGGAGAGAGAGATCAAATATGAGAGAGATAAACTTTCTTAAGAGAGAAAAATAAAAAGATAAGGTGTAGAGATTTTTTGAAAGAGACAATCCTTTTTTATAGGCTTTGAATTAGATTAGAAGTTCTTAGGGTTTTCTTTGGCTTGCCTCTTCTTGTAAGATTGAACATAGACCGTCGATCAAGGGGAGGTAAGAGATCTGCGTCATTCATTACATAGATGGGCCATCAACATTATGGAAGGTTCCTGGACCATTATCGCCCCTTCCTTAAACCATTTTCCCATCAATATATTTAACTAAAATAAATATCATGCATTCTATAAAATTGCACGATCCATGTCACATATTCCATAAGGATATGTCAAATAATATCAAGTAGATAAATACAACCAAATATAAATAAGATAAGATTCATATCAATTCAAATTAACCATATCTCTTTAAAATAAACTTGCTATAAAATAGATAAAGCCATGGTCAATATATCCCTTCCAAGATTTGTCAATATGCCACAAATCAAACTAACCTTATCATAAAAGCAAACAAGAGAATCTGAAGAGGGTGGGGCGTGCCACCCTTTTGTGGTACATGTGGGCCCCCAGCCACATGCCACATGGTGGGCTCATGTGCACTATGGGCCCCCATGGAATATTATAGAAAATATTATTTTTAAAATTGAATAGAACAATTTAAAATATATATTTGAAGTTTTATAACTTTATAAGAACAATAACTGTATTTTTATAAGTCCAAAAATCACAAATAAAATATTGAGAGGTTCATAAAAATTCAAATAATAAAACTAAAATCATTTCAATAATAAAATGAATACAATTAAATTAATATGATGGGAAAATGATCCATATGGTTTTAGGAATTCAATCTGTAATAAAGGGGTACTCCACCTTCAATTTTGGACTACAGACCACACTAGCTTTATCAAACTGACCCAGTGTTTTCTATGACCCACAGTCCAAGCAAGGGCTCATTAGCGGGTCACCAAAGTCAGGCCGATGAATCAAGGGGTCACAATCTCAATTTGTGGATTACAGGTCCTGCCCTAGAGACAAGTGAAGGTCACCACGATCTGATGCGACCACAGCTCTATGGCGCATAGGGGGTATCTCTCGCACATGTATATGTTTCACCCAAAGGTAGATACCTGGCTTTCCCAAGAGATCTATCAATATGCATGCCGTGTGATGGAACATGGATGGGGTTTTGGC